CAAACATTGTAAAAAATGTAAAATTTCACAGTGCTGTCACACAAAAGACACAAAGACCCCAAGATGAAAGCTCACCATCTTGTTTTGCTGTGAACAGTAATGTCAGTTCAGTTGTTTATCTACTGTCACTGCAGTGAAATTCGACATTTTATTTTGAAAGGTTACTAGTGGTTACAGGCAACGATCTTCAGAGAACAATACGAACAATCTGTTTCAAGGCCTCCATTGTAAAATTGTGCAATTGACACTAGAATATAATACTCACATGTAATATGAAAATAATGTGTAGTATTTAAGTGACCAAATAGTATTAAATTAAAATAGTATAAAAGTTATTGAATAGTGTTGAAATAAAGTGATAAAATTGCAAAGGATTAAAATGTTTCAAGAGCTCAAATTACTTTATCAAAACATGTTTTAATCACATTGTATCAACACAAAATACACAGGTTTATTGAACATGAATAACTTGTGTTAATTTAACCCAACTGTTTAAGCTGGTGCCAAAGCAAAACATCTGTGTGCAACCAATGTCCAGGATTGAATTGAGTTAATCCAACATGTTATTTTTTTCAGTGTATACTGTAGATGTCCAGGTTTACACACTGAAAAAGTACATTCTGTGGCACATCCACTCCATAATCCAGGGGTCTCCAATCCTGGTCCTGGAGAGCCACAATCCTGCATGTTTTAGATGTTTCCTTCTTCCAACACACCTGATTCAAATGATCAGGATCGTTATCAGGCTTCTGCAGAGCTTGATAATGAGCTGATCATTAGAATCAGGTGTGTTGGAAGAAGGAAACATGCAGGACTGTGGCCCTTGAGGACCAGGATTGGAGACCCCTGTCCTAATCGGTCCCCATATGTTAACAATTCCGTGTAGCATAATCAGATAAACTGTCAGTCTTGATAATGATCACACATTTTCTTTAGTTTTTTTTTGTACCCATTGACTAATTAGTTTTTGAGTGACAGCTCAGTGTCCTGTAAGTCGATCAGTTCCAAAAAGAGGATGTATGGGGGGAAAAAACAAGTCAATCTTCTTTCTGAGTGATCATTTTACATGTGAATATAGCCGAAAATTACAGCACAACTGTCATCTACAACTTATGTGATGGCGCAGAACAGCACCTCATACATAGTTTTGAACTGATTGTTACCTTCTAACATGTAGTATCAGTGGGCCACATTTTATCCACTATTATAGTCATTCAGTTTTCTGACAGACAGCAAAAGCAGAATCTAAATGAGAACAACTTTATTGGGAATTGACCTGATTAAATTCAGCCACTGAGCTGTCACTCAAAAAGTCATCAGCTAATTGGGAGCGATAAGCCAATCCACACCAGAGGTTTGTGTCAGAACTGAAAGTGAAGAAGTCAGACGGCACAAACGACACAAAGAAAAAAGTCGGATCAGCAAAAAAAAAGAAACAGAGGGAGCTGCAAAAAAGGACACAGTATCCAAAAAGTAAAAGATCAGCGACACAAACAACTTAAATGAACTTTTGAAATGACACTTTTTGCTCCAGTGAGTTTTATTCTTAGTCAGATTCTTATTTTTGTATTTGAAAAGTTTCGTTACATTTACACAGATAGGATTCCATATATTACTGTAAGAACTTAATGAGCCATTTGATTGTCCTGAGCAATTGTTAAGTTGTTTTTTTTTTTTAAACTTTTGGCTATGACAGGTTATCCGCTGTGAAGAAGTTCTGGAATAAGATTGGATTCATTCGATGTGATTATGTAAATGTGTATCTAACCGAAGTGGATGCTTACGTAGATATAAAGTATGTGGCATTCAATTTGGCTCAAGCTCCAAGTGCGTGTCATGTATTGTGTGCAGTGTGTGTGTGTGTGTGTGTGTGTGTGTGTGTGTGAGTGGCTTGCTCTCAATTCCCTAATTAATGTGTATACTGTGGCTGTCAGTCTCTAGACAGTCTCTCCAGACGATTCAGCTCCTGCATTCAGTGATCACATGCAAGCTTCATTATGAGACATACCTGCTTGTGTGTGTGTATGTGTGTATGTGTGTATGTGTGTGTCCTCAGTCGGTGAATGAGCGTGTCGCTATGCCCTGCTTAGGTGATCTCCTTTATTAGTGTCGTGTCGCTGAGTGCGTCTGCTGAAAGCATGTTGTCAGTGATTGGCACGCTGGTGAAGAGACTCTCGTCTTCATCTCTCACTCCCGCACTTGTCCTCTGCTGTCACTCTCTCTGCATTTTCAGTTTCTCCATAATACCATCTTTTTCTACTCATTTCTGACTTCCTAGCTCTCACTTTTCCACAGTTTATTTTTACTTTCATCACATCTGCACAGCTCCTCTCCCTCGTCTCACTTACACTTCTTTCTCTATTTTCCGTTCAGCATCTCTCAGCGTTGGTGTAATCTGCTGCTCATTCATCAGCAGCTCATTGATGCACCCCTCTCTTCCTGCTTCTGTCTCCTCCTCACCTTTGCTCACCTCCCTCTCCCTTTTCCCACCTTCTCCATCTCTGTCATCTGTGCTCCATTCATTAGCAGTTCACTCAGTTAACAGACCACATCAGCCAGACAGCAGATGCATATCGTGCATATCAAATACATCTCTGCTTGCGTGAGACCAAAAACCTTCGCTGTGTGTGTAGCTGACGAGGAGGAGGGAACTTTTGAACTTTCCTCTGTGCCCACTCGCTGTCTGTAACCTCTTATCTCCGTCTGCAGTTAGACGACACCAATGGCTGCTGTTGTTGTTATTGCTGTGCAACCTGCAGACAGCTTTGCCACAAGGATACGTGATACAGATTTCAGCTCAGATCCCGTCTTTGGTCAAAGTCCCACCAGCTCCACTTAGCAGAAAGAAAATGTGGAGGCAAACCTGTTCACTTTAATTGAGTGATCAAGATTGTTCTTTTGTTTCTGTTAACTCAGCTGAAACAATCTGCTGTTTTCATGTAGAAAGCTGCCTACAAGTTCTAATATTAAATGAGAAAACGATCGGGCTTTCTGTTATCCTTCATCTAGTCTTTGGTGTCTGGCTGTTAACCCCTGACACTAGCCTGCATGTATAATGCATTGGTTGGGGAGCAGGCCAGGGTGGGGTTGACCCTTTGTGATATATTTAGAGGAGCCTGCGATGAATGTTTTATCCATGCTACGTAGGAAGAACACAGGGGAGTCATTAAATATTCATATCTGCCACTGAGATGACCTCCTGGAATATCAGCCCATCATCAATGAATTAACATCAGACCGTCATCAATGAGCTAGCATGAGAGTGTCCTCAATGAATTTACGGCCATCTGTGTAATGCCATCACACCTCATGCTTGCAGCTCCATGTTGCTCATTGTACTTTTACTGACAGGCCAGAGGTGTGCATGTCTGTTGTTTTTTTTTGTTTTTTTTTTTGGGCAGAGCAAGTATAGCAACCAGCCACAGTAAAGAAGAGGCATATTTTGTGACTGTTCTTTATGCTTGTCTCATAGCTATTTAGAGCTAGCCCTAATGATCCTCAGAGAAACATAAGGATTTTGTATGTCAGCCTCTAATATCATAATTCTAGGGAGTGGTTTCAGATTTAAGTGGACAAATATGTACACAGTTGCTGTAAATGAATGGCAAGAGTGAGTAATTGTTCATCTTAGATTCATAAGTTGACAATGTGAAGCCCTAAATTGCATCCTCCTTCATCAGATGTGTATACATGCGCTGTAGGTGTATGTACAAACTGCTTATGTGAGCATGATACCATGCATCACTCTCAGCTGTGGTCCTTGCTGCTGCTGCTGCTGGCGTGTGCATGTTTTGGCGCTGTGTGGCTTCGCCTCTCAGACACAGTTTAGCAACAGCTCAGCCAGCTTGCATTATTCATACAGAAGTGAGCCAGCAGATAGTGTTACCCTGAGGCAGTATAGCTGGTGCATTAAGGTGCCCTTTGCAACTATAACTAGGGGATACTTACTCTGATATACATACACACACACACAGACATACAATACATACGCGCATACGTGCTCGCAGATGCATCAAGGATACGGTGAGGCCTCGAGTTAAGGTAAACCGGGCCATGGGAGTTTCAGTAACCAGAGAGAGATGCAGAAGGTTGCAGGAGGTCACGAAGGCAAGCTGACGTGGATGTGGGAGGATACAACCACAAGTGCAACACACATGCACACTCACTCTCAGACAAAGAGGAGGACACCCCTGAATACTGAGACTTACACCAACGCACTCACATCGGCTCTCCTTGTTGGGGGGACATCCTGCCAAAGTTGGTGCGGCGGCCAAGATGAGGATTCACTGCCGGACTCACAGGACGAACTAACAATGGGAGACACACAAAGGACTACACAGACTCTGTCACTGGGATAGCAGGGTCTTTTATTCGTCATGTGACCCTGGGAAGTTACTTACAAACCTAGAAAGAGGAACAAGACCAGGAACGTACTTTGCCATGGTGGATACTACATTATTAAGAACATTGTTAAGTGAAAAACTCAGTGAGCTACAAGCAACAAGTGGGTAAAACTGAGAGACACTCTAACTAGTAAGACATTTGTTTTCTTAAGTGACAATGAAAACTACATGAGCATCTGCTGTTTTTTTTTTAAAAACTTTTAACACCTTTTCACACAAACACAGACAACAGTTTGTTTGCTGAGGAGTGAAGATGTACTGTAATGCGAGCGAGCACTGATGGCTGAGATTCCGACTCCATTACTAGATCGTGTTTTGAAGGACTGTGGTTTGCATTTGTCTCAGTGTGCATTATAGAACAACTGACTTTGGACAGAGTGCGCCTCGGTGTGTGTTTGTAGGGTGTCACAGAGACGGATCGGATGGAGGAAAAAGGAGAGAAGACATGAAAACAATTGGGGATAAAAACATGTTGCTGCTGTTGGAACTGTTATTTTTCCAGACTCCACATCAACATTAACAACTGGACTGCTCTGCTTTAGCACAGTTTTTGCAATTTCCTCATCTTGTGTAGAATGACTTGAGTAAACATACATCATGCCACCCAAAAAAGGTGACGCAAAAGCTGCCAAGAAAGGCAAGGCAGAGGAGCCAAAGAAGGGAGGAAAGGAGGATAAGAAGGGAGGGAAAGATGACAAGAAAGGGGGGAAGAAGACGGAGGAGCCACCAGCTAAGGGGAAGGGGAAGGATGATGGAAAGAAGGGAAAAGGAAAGAAACCTGTCAGTGAGTCAGAGGAGGGGTCAGAGGAAGAAGAAGAGGAGATGAAGACTGAGGAGGAAGAAGAAGGTGACAGTGAGGAGGAAGTAGCACCCAAGAAGGGAGCAGATAAAGGGAAAGGTAAAGCAGCCCTGAAAGGTGCATCTAAGGCCATGGCTATGAAAGGTTTTAAGTCTCCTGGTAAGCGCTCTCCAACTGATGAGGAGGAGGAAGTGAAGGGGAAGGCACAAACAAAGAAAGGTATGGGTGCAATGAACCTCAAAAAGATGAGTGATGTCCATATCAAAGGAGCCTCCAAGGCTATGATGGGCTTTGCCGCAGAAGGACAGAAGAAGACTGCAGGAGCAGGAAAACCACAAAAGACACTAGATGTAAAGTCTCACCTCAAAGGAGCCTCCAAAGCCCTCTCAGGCATCTCAGGAAAGTCTTCTCCCTTCAGCTTGCCCTCTAAATCACAGCAGCCAGAAAAGGCTAAACCAAAGAGAAACCTTAAAAGCACATCCCGTCTCTTCCTGCGACTCTCCAAGAAAAAGAAACCCCCTGCTGGTGGTAAACCACTTCTCGGCAGTAATAAACTTTTTTCTGGTTTTGGGGGAAAATCAGCTGATAAAAAGCCTGGTCTGTCCGGTTTTAGCTTGTTTAACAAAAAAGAGGAACCTGCAAAAGAAACCACACCATCTAAAAAGACAATAAACCTATCTGGTTTAGGGGGTCAAGGGAAAATGGCAACAGAGGCAAAGGGACTGGGGGGGAAGTTTAAAGGCATGTTTGGAAAAAAGAAGACAGGATCACAGTTTAAGACTAAAGGCTGGATGTTAGGAAGGATAGCTGCAGCCACTAACTGGTTGACAGGGAGGTTCCTGACTTCTCAGGGCCAAGGTCGGCTTGGAGGAAGGGCAGGAAGACGGGGGAAAAAGAGCCTGTCATTTGCTAACAGAGACACTAGAGGGAGACAGGCACAGTATTACAACGAGGCCTATGAGTATGATGATGAGTACGGCTATGACGATTATCACAACAGAGGGAGACAAAGAGGCTTCACGGGGCAACCTATGAGCTATGACCCATATGATCCCTATGCAGAGGACATGGATTACTATGATGATGAAGAGTGGGAAGATGAATATGGTTACTATGATGATGAGGGCAACTTTTATTATGATGATGAGGTTTACTATGATGAGGATGTGGATTACTATGGTTACCCTTATGGCTATTATGATGATGAGTACGAAGATTACTATGATGATGAAGGGGTGGAGTATTACTATGGCGAAGATGGGATGCTGTATGCAATAGAACCAGAGCCCTATGGTTACTATGGTGATGCCATAGATGGTTTCTATGACCCATATTACCCTGAACTGTATGAAGGTTACTTTGACCAAAATATTAGTTCTAACTATGGCATGCTTGACTCATATGGCATGATGGGTGGTGACTACAATGCTGTTTCAGGCCTATACAACGACCCGATGCTGGGATATACACAGCCTGCTCCTATTTATAACCCCTATCAGCAGCCTTTCCCTATGGATGCTGTGATGGATCCAGCTATGACCGGACAGCTATATGGACAGGAACAGCTGTCTTATCCTCCAGCTGAGCCATTTCTTGCAGAACAGTTCAGGGTTCCCAGGCCTCAAGTTAGACTATTTGGAAAAGACAGACTAGATGTGGAAACTCTGCCACCGCCTCCTCTTCATTCTCGCCCCTCCTCCCCAGTGTTTCCCCCTCCTTCTCCAGCGCTTGCCCTCAACAATCTGGAAATTATGTCTGATATACAATATGAGCAACCCATCCCTGCATACATTCCTGCGCAGGCTCATTACCCCTCTGTCATTAACCAGCAACAGCTCCCCATTATTCCTGGACACATTCCCTCACCACCACCTATGAGCATTCAGCAGGAGCACGTCCCTCTCCTCCATCAGCCCACTCACCCTCCTCTCACTATTACTCCAAGTCACCTGTCCCCAGCTCCCTTACCACCTCAGTTCTCCCCACAGATGTACCAGCCATCCCTCCCACAAGACCCACAGATGTTCCAGATGGGGCAAATGTCACCGATGCCACCGATGCCACCGATGCCACCGATGCCACCAATGGTTCCCCAAATGCAGCCAATGGTTCCCCAAATGCAGCCAATGATGCCTCCACTTATGCATTCACCACTGCATTCGCCAGCGGCCTCACCCAGGCCAGTGCGACGAATGAGTCCCTTTTCATCCCCACAGCTGTCACTGAGACCAGGATCAGTTAGGGGAATAGTGCCTTCATCCCACTTCTCACCACATCACATGGACTTCCAAACAGGCATCCAGTCAGATCCCCACCTCTCCCCTCGCTTACATAGGCGGGGGCTCTCTCACAAGGCCTCAATGGGGCGGCAACGACCGACTTCACCAGTTGACAGGCAGAGACCACCCAGCCAACTTTCCTCTCCACTATATCACAGGAGAGGGATGTCAACAACAAGAGCTCAGCCATCTATGACAAGAGGAAAGGGAGGGACTGGGCTACGCAGGGCTCCCTCATCTGTCCGACCGCAATCCCCATTTTCTAGCCCCCTAGCCTCACCCAGGGGGTCACTGAGGAAAAGAGCAAGCCCACCACCTTCCCCAAGACTTTCTTTCAGACAGCAACCCCCTCCAGATGCAGTCCCCCTGCCACCTACCAGACCGCCTTTGTTTAAAGGTAGAAAACAAACGTCGAAGATGAGGCATTCACCCTCTCCTCCCCTACCATCCCCACAAAGACGGAGCCCACCTCAACCTGAAAGATCTCATTCCCCCCTACAATCTTTCCGTCCCACCTCTCCCCACCGTCCTCCCTCTCCTTCACCATCACGTGTCACCAATCGACCCCTCCCCACCCGGTCCTCTACTCGCAGGATGAGAGGTGTTGCTGGAGGTCGAAGTCATGTGCCCATGGGAGCTGTGAAACCCTCTCCAGCTAACCCTTACTTACAGAGACGCAGTAGACATGGGCCCCCTGTCACTCAACAAGTGGCCCCATTTAGGTCCTCCATACATAGTGGCCCTGCCCCTCCTTCAGGACCAATTGGGGCTGGAGCTGGAACGCCCATGCTAACCAGGGCAGGCTCCCGTCCCACAGGGTTAAGAGAGTCAAAGAGAATTGGTACACCCCAAAGAGGCTTTCACAGACCTGTAGGTAGGGGGCAACCACTAGTTCGAATGCCCAGAACCCAGCCCTCTCTTCAATCTAGACAGTCATTTAGATCACCTCCTCCAATGCCTCCTGTCTCTCCACAACTTTCTCTAAAACAGAGTGGCCCCCTTTCTCCCCAACCATCAATACGTAGGCTTCAGAGTAGACCTCAATCTCCACTACCACTGCAGCATCACTCTCCTCTGCACTCCCGTTCAGCCTCACCCATGCACCATCTATCTCATCCTCCCTCTCCCCTGCCTCATAGGTCTATGACTCCTCATAGTCTAGGGCAAGCCTCTTTTCAACCCCAAGTAGCTCAACCAGGTTTTCCTCCTGGCACTTTCCCACCATCACAAAGTATCACCCAGTATGACTACTCAATGATGGAGCCAGGTCCTTCTCCAATGCTTACAAATGCTTTACCAAACCCCTCCATGCCTTACTCCACCAGTGCTTATGCCTCTCCTTTACAAAGACCCATCTCCCCCCAAACACACCATGAAGTCTACCCCCAAACCCTCCCTCAACATGCACCCTTGTCACCTAATCTGGGACGCACACTCCAGAACCCTTATCTGCAGAATATTGGAAACACCACACCTTTACAGAGGAGCCCTTCCACCATACCTGGTATGCAGGGGGAGATATCAGCTACTGTCGAAGAGAACCAGGCAGCAAGTCCATATGCCAGTCTTGGTCTCTCCAATGCTTTGATGCAGAACTCCCGCTTACGCAGCGCCTCCTACTCATCTCCTCTACAACGCAATGCAAACCTTTATACCACTGTGCTCTCACCTCCTGAAGTAGCAGCCCCTCCTGCTCCCTCTGCACTTTCCTCCCCACGGTTTTCTTCTTCTATGCTTACCTCTCAGCTGCGTAATGCTTCCTTTGCTTCACCTTTTCAGAGACATATCACCCCCCCATCTTCTGCCACACCTGCTCCTCCTCCCACCACACCTCAACAAGGAGATATTAGAGGTAGCTCCTCATTTCTCTCTGGTGGACTGCGGACTGCCCAAATTCAGGGATCTATGTTCAAGCTTCCAGGTGGCACTTTGACAATGTCCCGGGGCACAGCTGAGCCATCAGCACCCAGTGATAGTGCTAGCGGTGGTGGGATGCTGTCCCCATCTATGCTCTCCAATGCCCTACAGAACCCGAGTCTACGTCAGGCCACCTATCGACTACCTGATGGCTCACTCATCACCAGGACTGAACCTGCTGAACAACTGTCAGGTCCGTCACCCCTCTCCTCATCTATGCTGTCCTCTGCATTGCTCAATCCCAGTTTACGGAAGGCCACATACCGTTTGCCTGATGGTACTCTTGTAACCAGGACAGAGCCAGCACCTGCACCCTCCTCTTCATCTTCTGTGCTCTCTTCAGCTCTTCTCAATGCTAATGTTCGAAAGGCCTCCTATCGATTACCAGATGGTTCATTTCTGTCATACCCAGGAGGAGAGGAAGAAAGTGCTGAGAGTGCAATATCATCACCAGGGTTATCAGGTGCCCTGATGAATGCGAACTTGCGCAAGGCAAAGTTTCAGCTCCCAGAAGGATCATCACTGTTTTCACGTAACCAAGCTCAAGCTCCTCCCCCTGCCCCCTCTGGTCCGGGCCTTTCTGGCGCCTTGCTCAACACCAATCTCCGTGGGGCCTCTTATAGACTCCCAAACACATCATTTTTGAGACAACCTGGATCTGCTGATACCTCTCAACAACGCTCTCTTGACCTTTCCAATGCTCTCCGCAATCAGAATGTCCGTTCTGCAACATACCGTTTGCCAGATGGAACTCTCATGACCCGCTCTCAGCCCACCTCTGAACAACGATCACTTGACCTGTCTAATGCTTTATCAAAGAACCCAAATCTTCGTGGAGCAAAGTACCGTCTCCCTGATGGTAATATCATGACACGACTTGGTGCCCCTAGCACCCCAGAACCTCGCTCACTCAACCTCTCTGGTGCTTTGCAGAACCCTAACCTCCGAGGTGCCTCTTTCCGCCTACCCTCCTCATATGCTGTAGTATCACCCCAGGTCCAGGGATCTGGTCCTGAACAACACTGGGCGCAAGGCTCTGATGGCTTGGGAATGCAACAGGATCTAGATGTCTGGGGTGCAGAGAGGGTTCTACCTCATGGGACAGTGCAGAACCTTAATAAATGGTCCATGTATAGAGATGGGGAGCTGCTGGACCCCCACGGCCTGATGGGCCAGGAACACATGGGGCAAGAACCTGGGGAGTGGAATCTCAGCAGGGAGGGGGAACCACAGGGGAACTGGTTTGACAAGGTAATAATTCTTAGTATTCTACATAACGCACCTAAAGTATCAGAAAAAGCTATATTACCAACATACTGTAAACCTGTAAAGTGTTCATTCTGTGGTCTTGCGTTAACAAGTTTAACAACAAAAGGCAAACAGGCGCTTGTTATTATGGATGTGTCGATGGCGTTAGAAAGAGCACAATGTTTTGCACTGTGGCGCAATGAGCACATAAGATATAATTGTAGTACATTTTTGAGGAGAGGCAGGTAAGGGAGGCTCTCGTAACAAACAATCCTAGAATACCTGATAAAAGAGAGAATCACCATTGCTTTGTGAGGGAATGTGTGCATGTTTTACACATAAATCCATTGTGTAGAGGCCTATGTATCTGCATCATGTCTTCATTTTTAAGTGTGCATGTACATTTTAGATGTACTCAATCAGAAGCCTGCCCACTGTGATTCAACGGGAGCAAAGAGAGGAAGATGGCGTGGAAGATATGACACAGCTGGAGTAAGTAAAAAAAACAAAAACAAGCAACAACACACAGTACTATTGAGCTAACTCATTTTCAAGTCATTATAAGTCTTGCTCTGACAAAGAAAGTCAGATCCAAGACACAAGCTTCAGACATGACAATTCTAGATGACTTCCAGAAGCTGAAAGTGTGTTGTGTTGTGGTAGGACACAATTAAAGAAAGATCAAGGGAATGGGAAAGTCTTTTCTCAGGAAAGGCCAATTTTGCACTCAGGGCAGCGCAAACATGCACAGATGGTTAGTGGGGCCATGCTGTGCTTTGCGATATTCTGTAACATCCTGAATTAGCTATGTCTTATTGCCTTTTTCTAGGGAGATGCATGAAGGGGCTGTTCTGGTGAACCTAAGGACAAGGTTTGAGAGAGAACTTATTTATGTAAGTATCTGAACAGTCCTCATGTCTAATACACATACAGTCACCCACCTACACTCAATATTATGAATTTACTTTTCATTTTAATTTTACAGATTCTCTCTCTTTACCTCTCTGCTTGACTTCCATTTCTTTCTCTTCCTCTCTCCCTCTTCATTAATTTTTTTGCAGACATACATAGGTAGTATTCTGGTGTCTGTGAACCCTTACAGGATGTACAACATCTATGGGACGGATTTGGTGCTGCTGTACAAGGGTTGCGCTCTGGGAGAAAACCCTCCGTAAGTCATGCTCATTGTCAAACTATGGGGGCAAGTAAACTGAAAATCAACTCAGGAAGGGGGAACAATCAAAGGGAAAACCTGAACCCTTGACCCTCATAGTGAGGTGTATCCAGTGGCTCCGTTATGTTGTGGGTCTACCTGTGCTTCAATCAAATCAATACAAAGTTGTTTGAATGATCATCTTTTTAATATGATGAAACATCTCAATCCTGATGGGAGTCGCCTCGAGGGTGGCCATGCCTCAATCAATAGGGCTCCTATTGGTGTTTAACCTAACTGAACTCCAGTAAGACATTTTGGACCAACGTGTTTGAAAAATGCCCGTCTGTAGATTTGTCAGTAACCTTGTGAAGTAAATGTCATGCATTTTTAAAAAAGTATTACTAACTATCAACAACATAGGACGATGGGAAGAAGGGTGGAGAATACTTTTGTGCTTAAATTCTGAGTTAACTTATCTGACAGCTTGTTGCTTGTTCACTTTTTTCTCTGTCAGGCATTTGTTTGCCATAGCAAACGCTGCTTATTTCAAAATGATGGATGCCAAACACAACCAGGTCATAATAATCAGGTAAGAGGCTGACTCTCTTTTAATCAGTTTCTCTATAAATGTAAATCAGATGA